GTTATGTCCCCCAAAACCGCCTGCGCGCAGGCCGCACAACTTCGAACACGGTATATTGGGTGCTTCTTCTTGCACTCACCGGATCTTTCGGATATCATTTTGAGATAGGTTTGTGACTCTTTGAAACAAAGAGAGAAACAGGAGAACTTCTATAGGAACGAAAATACCAAAACGCTATTTATCACAAATTCGCTGCCTTTGGTAATGGTTGACGTTGGTAAACTGAATTTTGGATCTTCGTTGTGTGTCTCAGCAGAACAAAGTGTAAGCGTTATTATGTGTAATGACATGTGGATATGCGTAGCATGATGGCAACCCGATGCCAACAAGTGTAGGCTTCTGTCGTTGCAAAGCCATCGCGTTCCTGTTGCTAATCTCGCAACGACACGAGGTCACCAAACACAAGTCCTGGAACCAACAGTTTTTCTGACAGAATTTACGATAATCTCGGAAAGGTCTTTCGAGAAATTGAGGGCTGGTGGAGTCAATAGTGGCTCAGCGCCTGGACAAGGTAGGGGCGGCCAACGAGCAGGCTGTGTTTTTCCAAGTCACCTACCCTAGAAACCCACGAAATGAGACTACATTCACATCACCGATATCGTCCGCAGCTCTGAAGTGAATGTCTCGTCAGTCATGACAACACATGCTATCCAGACTCATGCCTGACGAGATATATCCCGGCACCAACTCCTCGAGCGTATAGCACAGGCACACCGCAAATCAACAATCGACAACGCAGAGCATCAGTTGCGGGCCTCAAAGCCTCCGCCAGTTTATTACCACCCCACCGCTAGTTCCGTCGTCAAACTACGTACTTTGAGCTCTTGAACAGCTCCAAGCTACGTAAGAAGGACAAATACACCGCTCGTTCCTTCATCGTCATTTTACGTAGTTTGAGGTCGCTGGACGACCCGAAACTACGTAAGAGGTACCAATTCATGCCTGTTACTGTTCACCGATTCGAGAATCATACATCCACCTAGAAGCATATGTTCGACTCATTTCCTGGTAACGATTTGTCGACCCAAAGCTCGGTTCCTAGCCTGGACTTTGCAGGCAGGAAGTAAACACAGTGTGTTATCGATCTTTTGACTACATCGTCACCCTCCCTCGACAAAGCTCGACGCAGAGTGTGATGGCATGATGGACTGGAGGGAAATGATGGAGGACTCGAAATTTACCACGATCCCCTACGGTACAAGGATGAAACTGTATTACCGTGTTACTGATTATCCGAGATGTCGATTTCTCAAGCGCCCGAAACACCTACCAGCTATACGAACAAGACCGAGAACAGCACACTCGAAACCACGTAGAGTGCACGACTCCAAAGCTGATTCTATCTCTGCTTAGGTAGTTTCAGTTCGTTCCTCGAGCTCAAATCACATAAGAAGGACCGCTCGATTGCTCGCTCCATCACTGGTTCCTGTAGTTGGTTGAGACTACGTGACGGGCACGTGCTCATCACTCGTTCCTTCGCTAGCTTACGTAGTTTCAAGTAGTTCTGCAAACTGAAACTACGTAAGTAACAGGACTTGAACGCAAACTTCATGTTTGGCGTATGTCATTCCCATTTGGAGCACAACTCGGGATTACGTGAGACGGATGAATTCTCGCTGGCAGCGGCCTACAGACTTGAGCACTATACATGCCCTACTCCGTGCATGAAGTCAATCATGATAGACCAAGCTTACACTTGGTAATACAGTGGGTGAACAAAAGTTTCGCAAAGCCAGCTCCTTGGCAGCTTTCCGCGCGCCCACCCCCTTCGTTTCGATTGAGCGCGCTGGGTACAAC